ACACTCAAGGGGCCAAAGAGCCACATGTGGCTCGCGAGCCGCGGTTTGCCGAGCCACAGTTTGCTGACCACTGGGCTAGGGCAAGAGCCCCCTTGTTTTTGAACCCTGTTATGTGAGCCACCCAGCAGGGGTCACAGGCCCAGGTGAGGCTAGGTGAGTTTTGCAGATGAAAGTCTTAGCAGAGTCCTAGGAACGAGGTCAGCATCTGATACATGTTACTCGTGGTGGCATTTCCAAATGGAACAGGTACAGCCTGTAATCACCCAGAGAGGTGCGTGGGCTGTGGGTGCTGGCGAGCAGCTGGTCAGATCCAGGCCTGAGACCCAGAGTCCCCTGCTGTGTTAGTCCAGTGCCCCTTTCACCTTGGGCCTTCTGTGGTCTCAGTGACCAACCTGGGGGCACCCGAGCACCTGAAAAACATCCTCTGAGGCCAGTTGCTACCAGATACGCTGCCAGCTTCTCCTGGCCCTGGGTCCCACAGCCTAGGGACATGGCATCCAGACTTTGTGACCCCTCATCTGGCCAGGGGCGCAGGGTCTGGGAGCTGGCTGGCTGGGTGCCTGGGAAGAGCGATCAGCCTCTCTCTGTCCTTCCCGGTCTGGGATGATGACATTCCGCCCCCACCCCGGCTGCCCCGGGCTCTTCGGCTGCCTTGGGCTCCTCCGAGAAATGGGGTCACAAGGCGAGGCCACTGGGGAAGGAGGTATTTCTGGCTGAGCAGGTGTGGCCTGTGCTGGCATCCTGGCAGCTGAGCCCAAGGTCTTTTCAGCTGCCCTGGCAGGAGCAGTGTGACTTCGATATTTTGGAAAGTGTAAGGGAAAGCGAGCCTAGAGTGCTGAGCTGCTGAGTGTGGCAAGTGTGCTCAAGCCTCCTCATTAGTGAAGTTGGTTAGGTAGCCGAGATGGGCCAGGCCGCCATCCTGCTGTGCCCTGTGGTGGCTGTGGGAGCTGAGTGCCTGGGCTGGCTGGCTGAAGGACCTGCTGGGTCATTTTCATTTTTGTCTGGAGTCCTAGGTTGCTCTGAGCAGGGTTTGCACCACAGCAGGCCTCTTGTGCCCCAGCTTTGGGAGAAGTTGTTGCCCACCAGAGCACACAGTCCTCTGCAGGTACTGGCTGGGTGCTGCTAGGCTGCCCAGCATGCCACAGCCCAGTTTAAGGGCCTTTTCCTGGCAGACAATCCCCTGTGGCATCCCAGAGAGCCTGCTGGAGGCAGGGTGTGCTGCCCTGTGCCACCTCTGTGTGTGGGCCACTGTAGAGCATGTCCTGGCTGGAGGTGCAGCCCCAGAACACTGTGTGTGGTTGCTGGTCAGGGCTCAGGCATTTGCATGACTTGGGTGCACTCTGCACCCTTTGGAACTTGGCTTCCTCATGGCTCCTGCTCCCTTGGCCACCGTAGGGACGAGGGAGGATGAGGAGAGGGGGCTGGGAAACTTGCCATTCCGGACCAATTGTCCTCATCCATAGCCACCGGGCAGTCCCTTCTTAGGACACACAGCAGTTCCTGGTATAAAAGTGGGAGGTGTTAAGTCCATGCTGACTTTCTGGCCTCTTCCAGTCCCTCGTCCAAGGCCCTTGAGGCCATGGAGTCTGGTTTACTGGTGGGAGGAGCCTGGGAAGCACCAGGCTGGCTGTGTTTGTAAAGATGGCGAAGCACAGGCTCCTGGCTCCGGTGACCTGGGCACTGGTGCCTGGGCCCTGTGTGTTGTGTTTGCCTGGTGGCTCATGCAGAGTGGAGCAGCATTACAAACAGCTCTTCCAACTTGGGCTCCTCCCACCAGCCTCCTACTTGCTCTTCCTGCTCATGGGGCTCAGATAGAAACCTCAGATTTCTCTCTCCTCTCATCTCCACATGCCAACAAACGATCAGCAGATCCTGTTTCCTCCACCTTCATAGTCTGTCCAGATTCCCCACTTCGCACCCCCATCCTCACCTCCATCCTGGTCTCCCAATTCCCAGGTGGTACCTGTGAACACCTGAGTCAGGTTATGCTCCTCTTCTACTCATGAATCCTCCAGGCTCCTGCCTCACTCAGAGTAAAAGCCAGAATCCTCTCTGTGGCTCACAAGGCTCTGTAGGAGCTGCCCTTTTACTCCCCGTCTCTATGTCCTCCCAGTCTCCCCCTCACTCACTCTGCTCCAGCCGCGTAGCCTTCTTCCTGCTCCACAAACATGCCTGGCACCATTGCACTTGCCGTTCCCTCTGCTTGGAATACTTCCCCCCGAGGTGTGTGCATGGTTTGTTCCCTCATTTCCTCCTGGCCTTGGCTCAGATGCCCACCCTGAGGGAGGCCTTCCCTGATCACTCTGCCTAAAATGGCCACCCTCCCCACTCCTGATGTCCCACCCTTCCCATTCTGTTTTACTTCGCAACCCTGGGTGACACAAATCATGCCACTATTGTCTGCCCCTATCCCCTGCTTGCCGCCCCCCAGCACACAGACTGTAATGCAGGTCCCCTAGAGGCAGGGGCTTGGTTTTGTTCACTGCAGTTCCCAGTCATGGGAAGAAGGGGTGCAGGAATGAATGAAGGAGCCTCTTTGCTGGTAAGTGGCAGAGCTGGGGTTAGGGCTCGCTCTCTTGGTCCTTCCTGGTCCCATCCTGTACTGGAATTGGGACGCGGAGTTGGGACCGGAGGACTGTGGAGCAAAGCTGCTGCGAGCACCCTTCCTGGATGTGGGACTGTGGGATGGAGCTGCTGCCACAAGGGGGCAGCAGAGATGTGGCAGCCTCCAGCGCTGGTGAACTGTAGTAAGACCGTAGTAGGGACTGCGGCAGAGGCCCCACCTCTTGTGCCACACGTGTCTTACTATTGTTAGGGTTCTGCTCACTGTCAGCAGCTGGATGAAGCATCATTGCACCAACCCCCTGACGTTGATGTCCTGTAGATGGGCCCCTTGATGTCCGTGGTCAGGATTTGGGGACAAGAGGCCTGGCTCCCTGGGCAGCTGGCAGTGCTATTTCACTAGCATTGGTCTGCATTATATTTATCCTTTGTCAAACTTAATTCTAGGCTGGATATATTTATGTACTTTTTTGGGTGGTTATTATCTCTGTAAATCTTGCAGTAACCCTGTGAGATGGCAGGTGGGGGCAGCCTACTTTGTAGATGAGGAAACAGGTAATTTCAGGGCCTCACAGCCAGGAAGTAGGTGAGTTGTTGCTTAGGAGCCTTACACAGATGTTTGCAGAGCACAGCTCCATGCTGGGCTATGTTCCGGGTGCTGGGAAACAACTGACAACCCAGTGGGAGGTAGATGGTAAATGTCTGGGGGTTGATATTTTATTTTTTTAAAAAAATATTTTTATTTATTTCAGAGAAGAAGAGAGAGATAGAAACATCAATGATGAGAGGGAATCATTGATTGGCTGCCTCCTGCACGTTGGGCTGAGCCCGCAACCCTGGCATGTGCCCTTGACTGGAATCGAACCTGGGACCCTTAGGTCCGCAGGCTGACGCTCTATCCACTGAGCCAAACCAGCTAGGGCAGGGGGGTTGATATTTTAAGCTGATGGTCAGGAAGGGCCTCCTCACTGCAAAGTCGTCTGAAGGTCTGAGGAGATAGGGGAGGAGCCCTGTGGGGTCTGGGGGAGAGTGTTCTAAGCAGCTGGAACAGCATGTGCAAAGTCCCGAGTCTCTCTTACGGTTGCATAACTATGCTCTTGTTTTGTCATCGCCAGACAGGGCCGACCCCTGGATCCTTGCCTCCCTGGCAGCTCTGGGCACTGGCGCTAGCTTGGAGCAGGTGCTCAGAAACCGCTCCCCTCTTTCTACTACTGCTACCTTGATCAGTAACATTTTTATTTCCACGAAGACAGTGAAGGCCAGGGGCCCTGCTGCTCCACAGTGGCTCTGGGTGCTCCTCTCTGGGTTGGGGAAGACCACAGGGTGGCTTCTGCTCGTCCCCTCCTGCGAGGTGGGCTGTGGTCTTGCCCCTTGTCCTTGCCACCCCCCACACCCCTCTGCCACCTCGTGCTGCCACGAGTTGCTGTTGGCTGGGCCCCAGAATCTCAGGCCTCTGGGTGAGAATTCCTCCCAGGCTAGTGGAATGTCATCGCATGCACCCCAGGCCAGGGTGCCTACCCTGCCCTTGTCCTCTGTCCATTGTAGGCCATGGGGCCACACTCCCTGCCTGCAGCCATTGATGGACCTTGAGCCAGTGACCTCCTCACAGGCCTCACTTCATTCATCCATAGAGTAGAACATGTTGCCCTTCCCCAGCCCCTTCCCTCTGTGGGGGCAGGAAGGGCTGCCCCTGTGTTCCTCAGTAGGGCCCACCACTCCTTCGCTTTCTCCCCAGGGATGGGGCCTGGGCCTGCTGTCTTTTCTGTGCTCAGCAGTTGCCTGTGCCCTCTGACCTCAGTCCTGGGTCCTACCCTGGGCCCCTATCCCACTCTGGCCTCAGGGCTGGGCAGGCATGTGGTACATGTGTTTGTCTCTGAAGCATAGGGCATGGGAGGCATGCTTGGGCACAGAGCAGGGGGTAGGGGTGGCGCTGAGGTGGGGAGGGTTGCAGTTGGGGGGGTGAGCTCAGGGACTGAAGACTGGGAAGCGCATGACCGGGCCCCCACCTTTAGACCGTCAGTGTGGGTGGGGGAGGGGGTGAGGAACCTCTGCTGCTCCCTGCCCAGAGACCTTTGTTTGGATGGGTAATTGGGACTTGTTTGTTAGCCTTCCCACCTAAAAACTTTATTGAGATGAAATTCACATAACACAATGCCCATTTAAAAGTGAAAAGTTTAGCGGCACTTAGTACATTCACAGTGTTGTACAACCACCGACCTCTTCTAGTTCCACAACTTTCCATCACCTCGAAAGGAGACCAGGTCCCCATTAGCTGATACTCCCCTTCCTCACTCCCCCAGCCCCTGGCAACTACCATTCTGCTTTTTGCCTATGGGATTTAACTGTTCTGGACATTTCATGTACAAAGTGACCCCTTTGTGTCTGGCTTCTTTCACTTGGAAAAACTTTTTCCCCAACTAGCATAACTTTTTATTTTGAAATAATTATAGAGAACAAGGAGATGCAAAAACAGTACAGGAGGTCCTCGGTCCCCCCACCCCCCACCCCCCCAACCCCCCAGGGCCTTTCAGACCTCTCTTGGGGTAAAGATGGCCTCTGGGCCCCAGGATTTGGGGCCAGGAAATGGGAAATGAGGACTGATCCTGTCGGGGTGGCCTGAGCTGGAGCAGCCCCCACCCTGGTGGGTCGGGCCCCTCGTGCTGCCCCTTGGGCTGAGCTTACCTCTGTGAGGGCTCAGTCTCTCCTGTCCTTTGGTCTTGGGCTGGCCTGGGCGCAGTGTGGCGGCTGCTGGGAGTATAGCCCCTCTCCTGGCCGCCCTCTCCTGCTGCCCAGCTTCCTCTCCCAGCAGCCAGTTGGGCCCCCGACGGCTGTCCTCTCCTCCTGGGCCCTGGTCTCATGCCCGGTTGGGGGAGGGTAGAATTTTAGCCCTTCCCCAGCAGCTGGCAGGCAGGGAGAGGGCTGGTTGTATTTTAAGCTGTTGAGTGGTTCAGCAGGAACTCGGAGGCCTCTTTCCCCGGAGGCACGGTGTTGCCTTCCTGTGGACCACACCGGCTCTGAAGGCATGTGGGCACTGCCCGCCTGGGACCCAGCAACTATTAATATACCTGCAGCCACGGGGCAGGCACAGGGCCTGCCCAGGGCCCTGCTGTTCTAGCCCTTCCCGTACATTTGTGTGTGCCCCGTCCGTCTCCCATGAGTCCCCTTGGTGGGACTGGTACTCCAGGTGATGAGACCAGCTTTCTGTTTTTGGCCCCTCTGTCTGGCCTTGTTACCCCTGTGGCTCAGAGGGTTCAATAACCTGTGCCCAAGGCCACAGGGCCTGGCCGAGCTCTCTCTAGTGTGTTAACAATAGGCAGGTTGGCCAAGACTTCTTGGGTGCTGGGCCCTCTCCTACCGCAGGTCCATGGGGGTGGGTGCTGCAGCCACCAGCTGGCCAGCATGGAGCTGGGATCTCACCCCAGGCCATGTCCTTCCCTTCGGGCAGCTCCACAGGCTTTGGGACACTGCGTGTCTGTCAGGCACCACGCTGCACTTCTCGTGCGTTGTCTCATGGGACCCTCCCAGCCCTGCTGTGTGCTCCCCAGGCTGAGGCCCAGAAGAAGTGATTCTGTGGCAGGGCCAGATTCAGTCCCATGTACTGTCTACCACACCCCCTGCTTCTCTCACTGTCGTTGGGGTGTGTGTGAGGGGAACCCCTTCTTTCAAGGGCCTTGGGTGGGTGGCATGCCCTCAGAAAGCCTTGCGTGGGCCTTGCATGGGGTTTCGAGCCCTGCGCCTCTTCCCCACGCTGCCACTGACTGAGGGCCACCAGGGGTGGGAAGGGTCCTCAGCACGTGTTGCCCAGTGGCCGACTTGGGGACAGACCCAGCCCTACCTGCCACTGCTCGGTGTGAGCTCTGTGGCACGCAGGTCTTTCAGGACTGGCCTGCCCACCGGGCCTCAGTGCTGCTCTTCCATGTCCGTGGTGTCTGCTTTGACCTGCGTGGAGTGGTGGGTCAGATCTCCCCTCCCTCCTGGAGCTTCTTCCCTCCCAGCAGCACCCCTCTGCTCTGCCCCTCTCTGGGGTTCAGGGAGATCGTGTGTGAAGTGGGTTGTGTGTTCTGGGCTTTGGGGATCTCAGGACCTGGGCAAGGCAGCTACGTTGGGCTTACATGATGGGAAGACTGCCCTGAAGGTGACCTTGAACATGGTCTGGGTGGATCTAGTGAAATGTGTGGAGAGGGAGGTCAGGGAGGTGGGGCCAAGGCCTCATCAGCCCAGGCTGGGGTGCTTTCTGGAAACTTCCCGGTTTCTTTACCCTTTCCACACATAGAGGCTCTCTGCACCAATAACTCTGGAATCTGTCACCTCCCTGGGAACACAAATGCACAAGGGAAATAATCCGAGTGTCTCTCACAGCTCAGAAGGGGAAATGATGATCTAGCTCTCGGATTCTCAAATAGCTGGGATTTCTCCAAGCCCAGTGAACTCTGCCGGCCTGAGCCGGTGCCGGGGTGTGGGCTGGCCTCTCTCCCTCCTCCTCACTGGGTAGGGGGGCCAGGAGACACCTCCATGCCTTCCTCTGGAGACCTCCCTACCCCCCAGTGCTCTTCGGGGCTATGTCCACTGGAAAACCTCACTTTCAGGGTGACCCAGCCCCTGGGGGGCTGTCCCCGATCTGTGCCATGGCTCTTCGGGGGCTCAGTCTGGGAAGTTTTATATTTAGCCGGGCATGGCTGTAGGGCCACTCGGGTTACAGCTGCACAGAAGGTGGCAGTGCCAGGGCAGGCGTGGGCTCCTTTCCAGCGCCGCGGCAGAATTTGATCGCGTGGCCTGGCCCAGAGCGCTGTGCGTGGGGAGGTCGGTGGTGGGGCCTGACAGCCGGCAGCTTGGGCCACTGGCCTCGTGGGCAGAGCAGGGTGGCATGGACCTGAGTGTGAGCTTGGTGGCCCGGGAGGCCAGCCAGGGCCCTGGCCCCAGCCCTGCCTTAGGCCTCAATGGCCTGCCCCGGCCTGCACCCCCCAAAGTGGCCAAGAAACCTAAAAAGGGCGTTCTCTTCTTTGAGGTGGAGATTCTGGATGCAAAGACTCGGGAGAAGCTGTGTTTCCTGGACAAGGTAGGACCGCGGTGCCGGCTGCACTGGGTCAGGGTGCTGGGCCCATGCCTCTTCCTTACGGGGCTCCTGACCCCAAGGGAGATGGGAGTGCTCCTCCAAACTGCTTGGGAGGTGCACATGAGGGGTCCTATCCTCAGGCCTGGGCCTGTCCCTGCCAGCTCGTGGTAGCGTGGGCAGCCCTGGCCGCTGGGTGTGGCCGGGACTTGGCCTCACAGTGCAAGAGGAGGTGAAGCAGCCTCAGTGGAGCCTGCAGGGCTTTGGGCTGGGAGGGGGTAGAATTGTAACCAGGCCAGGGCAAGGGGCTTGTCCCTTCCTAGGGGAGGTCTGGCCTGGACTGTGGGTCTTTACTCTGGGGGGAGATGTGGGTAGGGGTGGAGAGGAGAGGCCCAGCTTCTCCTGCTCAAATTGTCTCCCAGCTTGGCTGGGGGGCATCCTGGCTGCCTGGTAAATCTGGGCCCTCAGGCCCACTGCCGTCCCCACTCTGACAGGCCCTTGCTGCTCCTCTCGGCCATGTGGGTCTGGGGCTTGGACCCCAACCTTCCCCACTCCCATAGCAGCTACCCAGGCCCCCATCCATCCCCACCTCAGCAGGAGGGATCCTGGATCAGGGGTCCTGGCTCCCCCCAGGGCTGACTTCCCTCCGGCCCGTGCTTCCCTCAGGTGGAGCCCCATGCCACCATCGCAGAGATCAAGAACCTTTTCACTAAGAGCCGTAAGTCCAGGGCCCAGCCACACTGCCTCCTGCAGCCCCTCTGGGCAGGGGCCTCTGGGTGGGACCCCTCCTGGCAGCCTCTCCCCCCAGGGTCTGCAGAGATGCCCATAGTGGAGTCCAGGACTTTCTGGGCTTGCCTGTTGCAGCGCCCCCGTGTGGCCACTGGTAGGAATGCCCTTGCTTGGTTTTCGGAAGGACAACATCCAGCTTCTGCCAGTGCTCTTCCGGGCTGTGTCCTGGAGCCACACAGGCCACAGAGGCCTTGTTCTTGGTTGGAGGAGCTGTGGGGTCCTTGGGCCACACTAGGCTGTGTGCTGTGACGCCCTGCTCTCCCCGCAGATCCGCAGTGGTACCCTGCCCGGCAGTCCCTCCGCCTGGACCCCAGTGAGTACAGCTGTTGCTTGACCACCCCTGGGCACCCCGGTGGCATTGGGAGGCCTGGGTAGCTCCTGAGCTGTGGCCTGCCTCTCTGCAGAGGGCAAGTCCCTGAAGGATGAGGACGTTCTGCAAAAGCTGCCTGTGGGCACCACAGCCACACTGTACTTCCGGGACCTGGGGGCGCAGATCAGCTGGGTGACGGTGAGTCCTGACCCTACTACCTACAGCCTCCTCTCCCATCAGCCACATTGGGGTGACTCACCTGCCCGTCTTCCCAGGTCTTCCTGACAGAGTACGCGGGACCCCTTTTCATCTACCTGCTCTTCTATTTCCGGGTGCCCTTCATCTATGGCCACAAATATGACTTCACGTCCAGCAGGCACACGGTGGTGCAGTGAGTGGGTCAGGGTGGAGGGGGTGGTGGGGGGTAGTGAAAGGCCTGTGGATCGGCCCCTCTGAGCCAGCTCTCCTCCCAGCCTCGCCTGCATCTGCCACTCATTCCACTATGTCAAGCGCCTACTGGAGACGCTCTTCGTACACCGCTTCTCCCATGGCACCATGCCCTTGCGCAACATCTTCAAGGTAAGGCCCCCGGCCTAGTGTCCCAGGCCCACCCACCCTAGCCCCGCCCTCGCAGGACCCAGCTCTCTGCCCACACCCTTTGGGGTGGACCCCCCTGCCCCGGACCCTGCCCTCCACTGGGCCAGGCCCCATCCTGGCCCTGCTCCCTTTCAGAATTGCACCTACTACTGGGGCTTCGCTGCGTGGATGGCCTATTACATCAACCACCCTCTCTACACGCCCCCCAGTAAGTGGCTTTGGGACCCTGCTCCTCCTGTGAGCCCCCATCCCCCACCAGGCTCCTCTCATAGGCCTCCCCTCTGGCTTTCTTTTCAGCCTATGGAGCTCAGCAGGTTAAACTGGCACTGGCCATCTTTGTGGTAAGCAGGCAGGCTGGTATGTGTGACTGGGTGGAGGGAGTCCGGGGGCTCTGGGCTGACCCTGCTCCTCTGACAGATCTGCCAGCTGGGCAACTTCTCCATCCACATGGCCCTGCGGGATCTGCGGCCAGCTGGTGAGTGGTCTCCTCTGGGCAGGGGGTGGGCAGGCTGGGCCAGGGGGTCTCACTCACCCTTCCCATCCTGCCTGTCAGGATCCAAGACCAGGAAGATCCCATACCCCACCAAGAACCCCTTCACGTGGCTCTTCCTACTGGTGTCCTGCCCCAACTACACCTATGAGGTGAGGGCCTGTCCTGCTCCCCTCTCCCTCATGGGGCTTCAGGTTCCATGTGAAGGGCTCAGTCCCTGGAAATAGAGGTCTCGGCCCTGGGGCTCGCCAACATTTACGAGGCGGGGAGTGGGGAAGAATCGGGTTGCCTGGCCAGCAGTTGCTTTTGCAGTTTGAACTTGAGAGCATCTGGAGATGCAGACTGTGGCCCCGGGGGGTTGGGAGTTGTGTAAGGCGGGGCTTGTGGCTGTTGAGGGCTGAGGGGCACGTGCCCCCCCCTCCCCCCAATAGCTGGCCTGCCCTCATCTCCGCCCTGTGCCCACAGGTGGGGTCCTGGATAGGCTTTGCCATCATGACGCAGTGTCTCCCAGGTGAGCCCACTTCCCCCCCTCAGCTGGGCCCTGCCCCACTCGGTGCCATGCACCCTCCCTAACCCCCTGCTCTGCTCTGCAGTGGCCCTCTTCTCTCTGGTGGGCTTCATCCAAATGACCATTTGGGCCAAGGGCAAGCACCGCAGCTACCTGAAGGAGTTCCGAGACTACCCACCCCTGCGCATGCCCATCATCCCCTTCCTGCTCTGAGTCGCCTGCCTCCACCAGCTCCTACAGTCAGGCTCTTGGGAGCCGGGCTCTTGTACCCCACTGTGTCCTCCTGGGGGAGGAATGGGGTACACTGCTCTCCAGCACCTGGAATAAAATCTGCCTGCCCAGCTGGACTCAGACTCTGTGTGTTTCTTTGGGGGGTTTGGGGACCAGTAGACCACAGGAATAGGCAGGGCATGGGCTGAGGGCCTGGAGGCTTTTATTTCTCCCCTTGTCCAAGGGTGGTGGGTGGGCCCCACTACGCGGCCACCTGGCTGGACTCCTGGCTTCTGGCCAGATCTGCCTCCCTCTGCTCCCGCCGCTTCTTCCGCTGGAGCAGCCGCCGCTCGCGCTCAAACTCCTTCATTCGCTTCACGTAGCTATGGGCAGAGCATGAGAAAGGGCGTTACAGCTCCCTGGCCTGAGTTGCCCCCCCCTTAGCCCTGGGAAGCCAACAACGGGGCTGGAACTCCACCCCAGAGCACTCTGGGAGGCCTCGGAGACCTGGGCCTCTGGTTTAAGTCTGGGGTCTGCCCCCTCTCTGCCCCTCTGGTGGACACCAGTGAGCCCTGGGCCTCCTGCCTGGAACCCTGGCTTGGCTGATCCTCCAGGTGGCCTCAAAGATGCCTGCCCCACCTGCCCCTTCCCCTGCCTCCACCCAACAGACCCCCTGAGAGCCTTTTTCAACTAAGGCTCAAAACTCAGGTTAGTTCACTGTCCTTTGCCTCAAGATCCTTGGGCTGAGGGTAGGTGGGGGTGGGGAGTGAGGGATAGGGGTGGTCTGGGGCTCACTCGAGGTGCTCGCAGTAGTCCCAGTCGTGCTGCTCGTGTTTGCAGGCCAGGAAGTTGGGGAAGCTGTCGCGCTTGCATTTGAGCAGCCGGATAAGGTAGTGAGCGCAGTAGTCTCGCTGCTGGAGCCCCAGCTGTGCATCATTCATCTGCTGCTGCGTGGCCACCATCTCTGTGGGGAGGGAGTGGGAGGGACTCAGCCAGGGTGGGCTTTTGGGCCCCTAACTTCTAGAGGTTCCCATGATGCCCTGAGTCCAGGGAGACCCAGCCGGCCCACGTGCAACCAGAAGTCACAGCTCAGTTCCGTCCCCCACAGGTCAACTGTGTGGTAGCAGGTGACTGCCGTCCTCTGATGGAGGGAGTGTCCTTTTCTCATTTGTTCAAAGGCAACCTGGACACTGAGGCCCAGACAAGGGAAGAGTCCCCGTCTCCCCATCACACCAAGCACCTCAGCATCCACATGGATCCTCATCTCCCCAGACAGTCCCACCCTGCAGAACCCACTTTCTCCCAGCGCTCCCCTCTGCAGGGCATAACCAGTGTGGGGGCTGGGGTGACCTGGATCCCAGCTGTGCCCTCTCACCAGAGTGTGGCCTCTCGGAAATTCAGTTTCCTCCCCTCAGGAGTGGACTAACAGTCCCCACTCCTAAGTCAACTGAGTGAGCGTGAAGGAACGGATGTAGGTGCTCAGTGCCTCCTTCAGTGAGGCTGAACTAGCCACTGGGCTGTGCCTCATCCACCTGGCAAATCTGAGCTGGGACCAAGTCAACCTTCAGGGGGCTGATGGGGGCCCTTAGAAGTCTGGGTGCACACTCCATGCCGGCAATCCCCCAGCTCCCTGCAATCTTCCCCACTGGCGTCTCTTCCCTCTGCTTCTGAACCCCGTGCCTCTGCCTCCTTCAGGCCCTGGTTCTCATCTCCTGTCCCTGCACAGAACCCCTGGCTTCCACACTCCGCACAGCCCTGCCCACACAAGGCTCTCACAAGGGCACTGAGACCCCAGGACACTGCCCTTCCTTAGCTGCTTTCTTGAACATTGTCTTCCCCTGGCTCTCCCCTCCCCAGGTTTCCTCCCATCTCTGTGGCTTTGGCTTCCTGAGGTTCTTGCTGAGAGCCTTTGCTCCTTTTAATCCATGGCTTCCATCACCACCCGATAGACCGTTAAGCCCCTACTCGGTACCCCCACCCTCACCTTGTCTGAGCGCCAGGCCCATAATCCACCTGTAGCCCCCTGCTGGTTTCCATGGCAATGT